CCGCCGCCGGCGCAGCAGCCGCCGCCGCCGCGGCAGCCGCCTGCGCAGCAGCCGCCGGCGCAGCAGCCGCGGCGGTCGCGCTTCGACGCGCCGCCGCAGCCGCCGCCGAGGCAGCCGCCGGCGCCGCTCTGGCCGCAGGGGCAGCCGCCGCCGGCCGCCGCGCCGCCCCCGGCGCCGGCGCCGCGGTCGAGCGCGGACCCGCGGTCGCGGACGCCGCGCGCCGCGGACCCGCGCGCGGCGCCCGCGGCCGCGCCCGCCGCGCCCGCCGCGCCCGCGATGCCCCCGGCGGACGCGCGCCGCGACGTCGGCGGCTGGGACGGCACGGGCGCGCCGCCGCGGCCCCACGCGCCGCCGCCGTCGCCGCCGCGCGCCGCCGCGGCCGCGCCGCCCGCGGCCGCGCCGTCGCCCGCGGCCGCCGCGACGCTGCCCGACGGGCCCCGCGACGAGGAGCACGAGAAGGGCCACCGGGCGAAGATCCGCGAGGCCCAGAACGCCGGCACGGAGGCCTACCAGAGGAAGGACCTCGAGGCGGCGCGGGGCCACTTCGAGGAGGCGCTCCGCCTCGTCGCCGCGCTCAACGACGCCGCGCGGCCGTCGAAGACCGAGCCCCCGAGCCGCGTGCTCGCCGAGCGCGACGCCGTCAAGGTCAAGCTCCTCAAGTTCCTCTCGAAGGCGTACGAGAAGATGGACGACAAAAAACGCGCGCGCGAGATCTTCGCCGAGAGCCGGACCATCGAGAAGCGGCTCCTCGACTACGAGAAGCGCAAGCGCGAGGCCAACAAGTGAGCGCGGCCCGTCGCTCTTGTAACGGGGGTGGTGCTCACCGGGGTCTCGGGAGGGGTTAGGAGCCTCGCTCGAGGTCGTCTCGAGCGGTGCGGCGCGCCATGGCATGTGGCGCGCCACAACCAGAGGATTCACTGGCGATCGAGCATCCTTGAGCATTTTGTGCCTCGGGACCTACCACGCGACCGACGCGCGGCGACTGAGCCTCCCGTGCCCCGCGGTTCCTCCCGGGCCCCCTACGTTTAGAGACGCGTCAAGGCGACCGGTGACCCCCACGCACCCCATGAATCCCATCTATGAGAAAAAGCAGCGGGAGTACGAGGCCAAGAAGGCCCGGGCCAAGGCACTGGCGCTGCGGCTTACTTGCACGATATGTGGAGCGAAACCGAAAACCTTGTTGAACTGTCCATGCGGGACGACGCAGTATTGTTCGACGGACTGTCAACGCATCGACTGGCGCGACCGGGGGCACCGCAAAGCGTGCAAGAAGATCCGAAACGAGCGGGCGGCGGAGGCGGCGCGGGCGGAGGCGCCGACGCCCCCGCCGTCGCCCCCGGTCTACGGCCCCGCGCCGCGGTCGCAGGCCGACGAGATCCGCGCGCGCATCGCGGCGGAGCACGAGGCGGCGCGCGCCCGCCGCGAGGCGAACCCGGAGGAGCAGGAGCGACAGCCGTACGGGCCGAGGAACGGGTCGCGGTGCCCGATATGTTTGGAGGGATGGGACGTCAATGGCTCGCAGTCGTTTCAACCTTGCTGCGCCCGCGTTATGTGTACGTCGTGCCAAGATTCGTGCGTGAAAAATGCCTTGAACCAAATGTTGAAGGGGTGTCCTATCTGCCAGACGGTCCCCCCAACTTCAGTCTGCCAAACCTCCTTTCATTTTCATGCGTGGTCGCTCGCTCAGACTCGTCGCCACGTGGAGAACGAGGTGCCGGAAGCAATCAAGCACTTGGCTCAATGTTACACAGCCGGAAGCTTGGGACTAGTGCAGTCATATAAGAAGGCCGCGAAGCTCTACAAGCGCGCCGCGGAGCTCGGGAACACAGAGGCGATGGTGAATCTTGGGTGGCTGTATGGACCAGTGTCGGCTCGTTCATGCCTACGTAGCCTATGGACCTATGACTACGCGCCCGCAGGTATGGAGAGGGCCGTGGTGTCAAGCTAGACCGAAAGAAGCAAACGCAGCTGTATCGAATGGCCGCGGACCTGGGCAACGCATACGGGCAGCTAAATCTCGGCGCCGATCTTGATCACGAAGCCGGATCCGACGAAGAAGCCAAAGGTCCCACTAATGCGCTGAGTCTGGAAGCCACGAAGTACTATCGACTCGCAGCAGAGCAGGGCCTGGCGAAAGCACAATGGACGCTCTTCGGTCGCTTGCATCACGGACGGGGCGCGACAGTCAACCGCCAGGAATCCATGTGTTGGGCTGCGCGCGCCGCCGTCCATGGCCACAAAGAAGCCGTCAGCTACTTCCAGTCCGTGGAGATGGACGCCCATGAAGTGGAGAGTCTGGCGCGTGTCACGCTCCCATTGCAGGGCCCATAGGCTCACACATTATAATCTTCTCGCACATACCTCTTGATTGAGGCACTCCCGCGTCGCCGCGGCGCTTCCGAGTCCCACCCTTAGACCTGACTATTCGTCGAAGTCGCCCTCGGAGTCGTCGTCGGAGTCGTCGTCGGAGTCGTCGTCGGAGTCGACGAGGAGCTCGTCGTCGTCGTCGTCGTCGTCGTCGTCGCCGTCGAGCTCGTACTCCTCCTCGTCGGAGTCGCTCTCGTGGGAGAGGAGCGAGTCGCGGCCGTTCGCGTGGCCGATCGGCGGCGCGTCGCCCGCCTGGAACGCCGCGCGGAGCGCGCGGCGCGCGGCCGCGGCGCCCGCGACGTCGGCGAGCGCCGCGAGAAGGTGGGCCCGCTCGCCGCGCGCGCCCTGGATGGCGGCGACGAGCGCGTCCGCCGCGCCCGCGCGGACGAGGAGCGCGCGGTTCGCGTCGGAGCCCGCGGCCAGGTCCCCGAGGCACGCGGCCGCCGAATCCGCGGCGGCGCGCCGCGCCGCCGACGCCGCCGCCGCCGCGGGCCGCAGGACGCGCAGGACGAGCGCGGGCTCGACGGCGTCGAGCACCGCGCGCTGGAGGTCGCTGCCCGACCGCCGGAGCGCGGACCGCCGCGCGATCGCGCCGAGCGTCGCGCACGCGTCGCCGAGGACGCCCCAGGCCTCGTCGGCGCCGCCCGGGAGCCGCAGGTCCGCGTCGCCGGCGCCCGACGCCGCCCGCAGCGCGCGCGCGCACGCGTCGATGGCGCCCGCGCGGTGCAATTCGTTCGGCAGCGACCGCGCGACTTTCGCCAGGGCCCCGAAGGCCGCCGCGTTCGCCCGGTCCGCGCGCGCGGGCTCGCTGCCCCGGCGCCGCGGCCGCGGCGCGGCCTGCACGGCCGCCGCGGCGAGGTAGGCCGCGACGCGCTCGCGCTGCGGCTGCGTCGCGAGCGCTAAAACGAAGCTCCGGAGCGTCTGCGCCGCGCGGTCGTCGCGGAAGGCCGCGCAGTAGGCCAGCAGGCCGTCCAGAGCCCCCGACGCGTCGCGCCAGGCCGCGAGCCGCCGGTAGCGCGCGTCGCTCGCGAAGGTCGGCTGCGCGATCCAACGCGCGGCCTCGAACAATTCGCAGACGACGGCCGCGGCCGCGGCGCGGTACCGCGCGTCCGCGCGCGCGTCGGCGCCGCCGCTTCGCGCGCGGGGCGTCGCCGCCGTCGGCGGGGCCGCGGCGGACCTGCGGCGCTTCGCGGGCGTCGCGGCGCCGCGCGCGGCGGCGGAACCGCCGCCGGCCGGCGGCCGCGCGTCGCCCGCGACGAGGGCCCGGGATAGACGCGCCGCGCAGCCGACGTCGGGGTCCAGCGCCGCCTCGGCGGCGACGACGGCCGCGGACTGCGCCGCGCTCAGCGCCGGCGACGGCCGCGGGTCCGCGCGCGCGGCGTCGTTCGCGGCCCTCAGCAGCCGCGCGAGCCCGCGCGCGAGCGCCTCCTCGAAGCGCCAGGCCGCGCGCTCGCCCGCCGCGGCGACACTCCCCTCCGCGGCGACGGCGAGCGCCGCCGCGGCGCCGCCCGCGCAGCCCGCGGCGACGGCGAGCGCGACCGCGCTGTCTTCGGGCTCGCCGCTCCGGCGGAGGCACAGCAGGCCGAGCGCGAGGGCCGCGCGCGCGCCGCGCCGCCGCGCGGCGGGGCAACACGACCCGGCGGCGGCGGCGATGCGCGCCGACAGCGCGACGCAGCGCCGCGTCGTGAGCCGCGGCGCGTCCGCCGGCGCCGCGGTCCACTCGGCGGCGGCGTCCCAGAAGCCGGCCCAGGACGCGCCGGCGGCGGCGCGCGTCGTCGTCGTCAGCGCCGCGCAGTCCGTCGGCGATGTCGCGTAGCCCAACACCAGCTCGACCACCGTCTCCATATTGCGTTCTAGCTACGCGGAGGCCAGCATGCGATTCGTTGGGCAAACGGGGAAGCCGAAGTTGACCCAGTGTTCACCTCATCTTCGATCGATCCAAGAAGCCAGCGGGCGACCGACAGCGCATGGTCTGCCTCAGTCGGGTCTAGCGAGCGAGAACTTCCCGAGCCGCACTCGCGCGGGCTGTGCGGATCCCGATCCGCAGTCGCAAGCGCCCGACGCTGCCCAACTCCCTCGCAAGCGCCTCGACGAGGCTGCCCTCTCGAGCGAGGCTGCCCGAGTGCCCATGGGCGCCGGCGCGTCGACGAAGCTCGCGGACGCGCCGGACCCGGTGCCCAAGGACGTCGCCGAACGGACGCTGGGCGTGACGCTCGACGCGGCGGAGTGGGCCGCCCGCGCCGACGCGGACGGCCGCGTGAGCCAGGCGCGTCTCCTCGCCGAGAGCGACAAGGTCGCGCGCGCCGACGAGTTCTTCCGGGACCTCGGCGAGTTCTTCCGCTTCCGCAAGGACATCGACGCCCTCTGGGCGTCCCAGGACGGCCGCGAGGCCCTCGAGGCCGTCGAGGCCGTCGACAAGGTCAAAGTCGACCACCGCTACGAGGCCGTAGGGCAGCAGGTCGCGCCGCGGACGCGCGCGCCCGTCGACAGCGTCGCCGAGCTCTACGAGGCCGCGGAGATGGCGCGGCCGGCCTTCGAGGTCGTCCTGCGGCGCTGCGCGGGCGCCGGCGTGTTGAAGGTCGCGCCGCTGAAGGGCCAGGTCCGCGCCCGCGTGGAAATCAACCGCTGGTTTGGGACGTCCCGACCAAACTTCAGAACTCTCGAGCTCCGTCACATCGATGTCGATTCGGCTGATTTTTGGACGAACCGATCGCTCTCGTCGAGTTCTCGACGCACGACCAAAGAGCTTGTGTCGGCATACGCGCCCATTGAAGTCGGGTTGAAGATTTGAGTTCCGCGCAGGTCCGCGCGCTCGAGAAGGCGCGCTTCGACTACGCGGAGCGGCCGAGCCCGCTGTCGTGGCTGAGCGACGTCGTGCGCGGCACGATCGTCTGCGAGCGCGCGTCCGACGCCGTCGCCGCCTACGAGGCCCTCCGGGCGACGCCGGGCGTCGAAATCGTCAAGCTGTCGAATCGCTACGCGCGGCCGACGCCCGCGGGCTTCCGCGACCTCAACGTCAAGTTCCGCCTCGACCCGCGGGCCGCCGCGGGTACCGCCCTGGGCGGCTCCCTGAGCGGCGACGCCGTGGCCCACGTCTGCGAGTGCCAGGTCCGGATAGCGGGGCTCGACGACTTCGCCGCTTCTCGCGACTCGCACCGCTTCTACGAGTTCTTCCGCCACTACTTCCGCGGCGACTGGACCCAGGTCGAGCAGCAGGCCGCGACGATGCGGGGGCTGCTGGAGCAAAGCTCCGCGGGGGGCATTCGCGACGCCGTACGGTCGCTGCTCGCGGCCGCGGACACGCCGCCGGAGACGCTGGACGCGCTCGCGGGCCTCTGCGGCGACCGCCTGGGCCTCATGGAGCCCGCGCAGCAGCTCTACGGGCGCCTCGCCGAGGACCTCGCCGCGCGGCACCGGTCGCGGAAGCACGCGGCCGTCGGCGTCGCGCTCGCGAAGTTGGGCTTCGCGCGCCAGGCCGTCGGGGCCCACGGCGCCGCCGTCGAGGCGTTCCGCCAGGCGCTCGGTGCGCTCTCGTCGGCGCCGCTCGTCTACGTGGACTGCGCCGCGCGGGGCCTCGGCGCGTCGCTCGTCGGCCTCGGCGACTACGACGGCGCGGAGCAGACCTACGAGAAGGCGCTGAAGACGCTGAAGCTGCTGCGCCACGAGGCCCAGAGCGGCCTCGTGCTCCGGGCTCGGGCCGCGCTCCGGTCGCGGCGCGGCCACCACGACGACGCTTTGAAGGATGTCGCGGCGGCGGAGGCGTCCTTCGCGGCGACGGCCGGCCCGAGCTCGCCCGAGGCCGTCGGGTGCCGCGTCGCCCGGGCCTGGGTTTTGTTGAAATACGCGGAGGCGGAGCGCGACGCGGAGCACGGCGAGCCCGCGGCGGCGAAGTTCGCCGAGGCCGCGGACCTCGCCGACGCCGCGAGCGCGGAGCTCCACCGCTTGGTCGGTCTGAACTCGCCGGCCTACGGCGACGCGGCCCTCGTCCTCGCGCGTTTCCGGCGCCTCTCGCGCGAGCGTCCCGTGTGTGAACGCCGACCCCCGTCGCAGGCCAAGGTGCGGCTCGCGTTGGGCGAGGGGGCGCCCGCGCGCGCGGCGGCCGAGGCCGCGGTGAACGCGCTGCGGCGCGACCACGACGTCGCGCTCGCGCGCGCGACGCACGCGGACGCGCTGGAGCTCCTGGGCAAGTCCGGCGACGCGGAGACGGAGCGGAGGCGGGCGCTGGACGGCCTCCGCGGCGACGCGGAAGCGCCCTGCGGGACGCTCGTGACGATCCTGCTCAAGGAGGCCGCCGCACTCGAGAAGCGCGGCGACGCAGCCGCGGCGGTCGCCGTCGCGTCCGAGGCCGCGGACGTCGCCGCGCGGTCGACGCGCGAGCCCGTGCGCCTCGTCAAGGCCCTGGCGCTCCGCGCGCGCCTCGAGGACTCGCTCGGCCGGTCCGACGCGGCCGCGGCGACGCTCGAGGACGCGCTCGCGGCCGGCGTCGCGTTCCTGGGCAAGCCCGCGGTGGCGGGCGAGACGCTCGACGAGCGCTTCGGCGTCGCGGGGCCCATGCTCAAGCGGCCGCCGGCGGAGGCGAGCCTCGTCGGGAACTTGTTCTACGAGCGGGGGCTCCTCGCGGACCAGGACCGCGACTACCGGCGCGCCGTCTTCTTCTACGACAACGCGCTCCTGCTCCTCACGCGGGGCCGCGGCGAGCACGCGCCCTTCGTGATGCGCCTGGCCAAGGAGGTCGAGGTCATCCGGAAAAAGGCGCCGAAGAAGGGCAAGGCGGCGGCGATGGCCAGCTCCAAGTCCGTGCCGAACCTCGACGCGCACCACAAGGGCGGCCAGCGCCACTCCCTCGGCGCCAACGCGGCGTCGACGACCCAGCTCCACCGCCACGCCGACGACGCGCACCACAAGGGCGGCCAGCGCCACTCCCTCGGCGCCAACGCGGCGTCGACAACCCAGCTCCACCGCCACGCGTCGGCGCGCCACACGGTCGCCGCCAACCACGAGGACGACGGCGCGCACCCGCCGCACCCGCCGCACGGCCGCCGGCCGTCCGCGCCCCACGAGGTGCCGAGCTACATGCGGGAAAAGCCCCTCACGCGCGGCCATTAACCCTGTTGTTCTGGAGTACATTCCGCGGCATGGTCCAATACGTTTTACGCCGACGCCGACGCCGACGCCTCCTCGTATATGGCCGCGACAGCAACCTCATGTCGCGGAGCCGGCGTCCGAGACGTTGTCGTTGATTCTCGTCGAGCTCGTGGTCGGGCGCCGAGGGGCCCGCGTCGCGCCGCCGCCCGCCGCCCCGCGCTACGCCGTCACCGCGTCGTCGTCGCACCGCCCGCTCCGCGCCGCACTGCCGCCGCTCGCGTCGCGTCGCCACCACCTCGCGACGTTAGCCCGTCGCCGCGACGAAGACGATGGCGGAGCGTGTCGAGATCGACGCGCCGGCTGAGTCGCGCTGCTCCATCTGCGTGCGCGTGCGCCCCTTCAACCGCAAGGAGGACGTGACGACGCCGTGCGCCGTGGCCCAGGACGACGGCGCGTCGCTGCTCGCGCAGCGCGACGAGCGCAAGGGCGGCAACTACCTCCGGAGCCAGCAGGCGAGCAAGACGCACTACACCTTCGACGCGACCTTCGGCCCCGACGACTCCCAGGAGCAGGTCTACGCGCGGACGACGAAGCCGCACCTCGCGAAGCTCGTCGGCGGCGAGCTCCCCGCGCTGACGGTCATCGCCTACGGGGCCACGGGCGCGGGCAAGACGCACACGATGATGGGCGAGGGCTCCCTGCGCACGGGCGCCAAGGGCGCCAAGGGCGGCGACGGCGCCGCGGGCGCGTCGGCGGGCATCATCCCGCGCTGCGTCATCGACCTCTTCGCGCTCGCGCCCGCGGGCGCCCGGGTCCGCGCTTCCTACCTCGAGGTCTACAACGAGCGCGTCTTCGACCTCCTGGGCGGCGGCGACGAGCCCGGGCGGCCGACGACGGCCCTGCGCGTCTGCGAGGACGAGAAGAACGGCGTCGTCAAGGTCCTCGGATTGACGGAAGAGCCCGTCGCGTCCGCGGAGGCCGTCGTCGGCCTGCTCAAGCGCGGCAACGCGCGGCGGACGACGGAGGCGACGGGCGCCAACGACGTGAGCTCGCGGTCCCACGCCGTGCTCCAGCTCGAGGCCGAGCTCCCGGGCGGCCGCAACCGCCGGCTGAGCCTCATCGACCTCGCGGGCAGCGAGCGCGCGTCCGCGACGGGCAACCGGGGCGCGCGCCTGCAGGAGGGCGCGCACATCAACAAGTCGCTCCTCGCCCTGGCGAACTGCATCAACGCGCTGACGGACCCGTCGGCGCCGAAGCCCAAGTTCCGCGACTCGAAGCTGACGCTCCTCATCAAGACGGCGCTCGAGAGCAGCGACGTGCGCCTCGTCGTCCTCGCGTGCGTCGGCCCGTCGATGGCGTCCGTCGACGACACGCTGAACACGCTCAAGTACGCGCACCGCGCCAAGGAGCTCCCGACGCGCGACGTCGTCGAGGAGCCGGACGTCGCGCCGCCGCCGCCGGCCGCGCCGCGCCACGCGCGGCGCCGCGCGTCCGTCGCGGGCTTCGCGCGGTCGGACTTCGGGGGCCCGCCGGGCGGCGGCGCGGGCCGCGTGCCCCGGCGCCGCGCGTCCGTCGAGCCCCGCGACCGGCCCGCGGCGCCGGCCAAGAAGATGCGCCGCGCGTCGCTCTGCCCGGCGCCGTCGCCCGCGCCGCCGCGCGCGCCCGCGCCCGCGGCGCGCGCGCCCGCGCCCGCGGGGCCGCTCCGCGAGATGCGCCGCGCGTCGACGTCCGCGGTGTCGTCGGCGCGCCAGGCCGCGTCGGCCATGGCGTCCAAGCTCGCCGCGAAGCACGCGACGGTCGCCGCGAAGCTCGACGCCGTCGCCGAGGCGCCGTCGCCGCGCGCGGAGGAGCCACCGCCGCCGCCGCCGCCGCCGGCGCGCGCGCTCGAGTCGCCCGAGGCCG